CTACCTTGTCTCATCCCCTGCTTTATAAGACTCATCCATTCAGTGGTGCAGGGGATGCAAATAGCAGCATTACCCACAGACCCAGAAGCTGCCCTAGGAAAAACAAATCAGGTACCAAAAATAATGACACTAGGAGAAGAAATTCCTCATAGCAGGGCAGCTGAGGCCCTAGCAAAATTTAATGGACGAATAAAGGGTAAAGAACAAAACTATAAAATTTACCAGGAAATTCCAGATGTAATAAATGAAAGCGAATAAAAATAAAGAAATCTTGGGATTCAGTAGAGGCAGAAATTAGGGCGCAAATTAATGGGTTAATATAGAAGGTGGGGGATTGTTATGGGTAATAGACATAATTTGCGCCTTGCCTTATATGGAATATATAATGTTAAATACTTGTTAGATTTACCTCATTTGTACTAGCCTCCCCCCCCCCCCTCCCCCCCCCTTCTCCTCCCCTCCAAGACCGGGTGTATGTTAAGAAGCTAATTTACAAGTGAGAAGATACGGCTCGCCAGGCGCCAGACGATGGGCCATGCGAGAGACCCCAGGCGCCGATCATCGCGTGAACGACCCGAGATGGATATCTTGGAAATCCCCAGACAGATCCATGTGGATTCAACAAACTCCAGACACTGAATTATTAACATATGGACTCTGAATAGAAGAAAGGACTGATTACAAAAATCTTGGCCTCAGGCGGAATTATCCCTATAAAACTTGCTTGTGCCAGGATGGAAGTGTGTGGGCATAGAGGAAAACCTCTCCTGAGGCTGACTTCTTGTTGCACACCCAGGGCTGACCCCGGGCTCGGCACTGTTTTTTTTTTTTTTCCTTTTTTTTTTCCTGTGGCTGGCTAGATAGAATTTGACCGCAAATAAAACTGTTTTGTTTTTTAATTTGGCTGAATAAACTTTCGTTTATAACACTTACCAATGCCATTCCTCACACAGTATCCACAGGACAGCTGGGACCTGAACCACAACCATGTCAGTTCTTAATAGTGGGAGTGAACAGATCCCATGCAGAAGGTTTCTACATCATTCCAACTCTGTTATCTGTCACTTGTTCACAGGAAATCACCGTTTTAGCTTTCTCTCCAAACCCTCCATGTTTTATCCCTAAAGGACTAACCATAGCACAAGCTTTTCTCCTACCAGAGTCACAGAACAACACATTCCTCATTGCTTGGAGCAGGCACATCAGCCGCGGGCGGCCTCAACTCACCCGTGTCCTGAAGCATTTCGGGAAAACCATCACCCTCGTTGGCCTGATAGATACCGGAGCTGACGTCACTCTAATATCGAAATCGAAATGGCCACAGGACTGGACCATTGTATCCACGCTGGACCAACTGGCAGGTATTGGTGGTCACTTTGAAAGCTTTCGTAGCTTGCACTCAGTCACATTTGAGGGACCTGAAGGTCGTTTTGCCACCACAAAACTATTCATAGTAGGAGCTAATATAGTTTTTTGGGGATGAGACATTCTTTCTCAATGGGGTCTGAGACTAGAAACAGATTTCTAACAAGGGCTGTTGATGGACACAATACTCTATAACTCATGTGGACATCCAATACACATGTGTCTAGGTCAGCCAATGGCCCTTACCAGAAGAGAAACTTGTTGTATTAGAGCAATTAGTACAGGAACAGTTAAACAAAGGTCACCTAACTCCAACTACCAGTCCCTGGAACACTCCAGTTTTCGTAATCAAAAAGCCAAACAGTGGGAAAGGGAGGTTATTGCAGGATCTCAGAAAAGTGAACAAAGTGATTCAAGAAATGGGTTCTTTACAACCAGGTTTACCTTCTCCTGTTATGATTCCAAAGGATTGGAAGTTGACTGTTATTGATTTAAAAGACTGTTTTTTCAATATTCGTTTGCATCCAGATGATGCACCATGATTTTCCTTTTCCATCCCATCAATAAATCAGCAGGCTCCTTTAAAAAGATATCATTGGCTTGTACTTCCTCAGGGCACACGCAATTCTCCGAGTATATGGCAGTGGTATGTAGCGAAAGTACTTTCCTCAGTTTGTATACAATACCCAAATTCCCTCATCTTGCATTATATGGACGATGTTTTAGTAGCAGCAAAGGACCAAGCATCAATGCAGGAGACAACAGATCAGGTCATCTCAGCAGTGGAGAAAGCAAGACTCACAGTAGTGAAGGAGAAAATACAGACACTTCCTCCCTGGAAATATTTAGGATACAGAATCACAGAACAAACTGTAGCTCCTCAACCACTTGAACTAAAGAAAAATCCAAAAACACTGAATGAAGTGCAGCAGCTGGTAGGGACTCTGAACTGGCTTCGTCCACGGTTAGGCATTTCAAACCAGGACTTAGCTCTTCTGTCTGATCTACTGATCTTCTGTCTGATCTACAGCTTTAAACTCACCACAAAAATTCAAGAAAGAAGCCCAAAATGCTTTAGATAAAGTGATGAGAGCCATCCAGTCATGCCAGGCTCATCAGTATAATCCTAACTTGTCTTTTTGTTTGCAGTTTTAGGGGAGAGTCCACAGCTTCACAGTCTAATATTCCAGTGAGATCTAGAGAAGAAGGACCATCTGATAATGTCAGAATGGGTTTTCCTATCTTGTCAGCTGGGTAAAACTCTAACAACTTGCCCTGAAATTATATCACAATTGATTTTAAAGGGTAGATCACGAATGTTTTCCCTTTCAGGAAAGGATTTTGCAGAAATCTTTCTGCCTGTCACATCCATCTATTTGGAATAGTTAATTCAAAATTCAGAGGTTATGCAATTTGCCCTAGAAAATTTTACAGGGAAAATTTTGGTCAATTGTCTGAAACATCAGCTACTAAAATAATCTCTAAAATTAATTCATAAGCCCTTAAGTAGTCATGCACCCCTTGATGCAATCACATTTTTTACAGACAGTTCAGGGAAGTCTAAAAAATCTGTGATTGCTTGGCAAAATCCAGAGACAAAAAAAAAATGGGAATCAGATATTGAAGAAGTAGAAGGTTCTTCACAAATTATAGAGTTAACAGCAGTTGTGCGAGTCTTTTCAAAATTCATGTTTTCTTTTAATTTTATAACGGATTCATTTTATGTTGCAGGTGTAGTGGAAAGGGCAGAAAGGTCTCTGCTAAAAGAGGTTTCCAATGACCAGCTATACAGTTTACTCAAAAAACTAATTTTCCTTCTTTCTATTTGACAAGAACCTTATTTCATAATGCACATTAGTTCACATTCTGCACTCCTAGGTTTCCTAGCAGAAGGCAATGCCATGGCTGATATGTTAGCCATGTCAATACAGAATACACTTCCAAATATAATGAAACAAGCCAGAATGAGCCATGCTTTCTATCATCAAAATGCACCTGCCTTAGTAAGAATGTTTAACATACCTCAGAATCAGGCAAAAGCAATTGTCCAATCATGTCCAGATTGCCAAAAATTAGCCATACTAGCAATAGAAACAGAGGTTAACCCTCCAGGTTTAAATAGCCTGCAGATAGGGCAAACTGGCATAACTCAATATCAGTGATTTGCACGGTTCAAACATATACACATATCAATAGATACGTTGTCAGGAGCAATTTTTGCTTCTGCACATCAAGGAGAAAAGAGTAGAGATGCAATTAAACATTTCTTACAAGCATTTGCATCCCTAGGTATTCCTCAAGAAGTTAAAACAGACAACGGAGCAGCCTATGTCTCTAACAAACTGCAAGAGTTTTTCAAAATCTGGGGTATCAAACATACCACAGGTATTCCACATTCTTCCACAAGCCAATCTATTGTAGAAAGAACACACAGATCACTGAAAATGATCCTTGAAAGGCAAAAGGGAGGGACAGAAATGCTATCTACTATAGAGAGGCTGAACCAAGCTATATATGTTTTTAATTTCTTAAATAATTCTTTTATGGAGCAAGTACCACCGATTTTCAGACATTTCAGCAATACCAGTCAAGCAATGCTCAAGGAAAGGCCACCAGTCATCATAAAGGATCCAGAGACAGGACAAATTTCAGGACCCCATCCTCTTGTGACTTGGGGGAGGGGGTTTGCATGCATTTCTACAGATGCAGGTCTTTGATGGGTACCTGCAAAGAATGTTGAGACACAGGTACAGCTGATCCAAGAGCAGCAGGAGATGCCAGAAAAAGAACACACAGACAACTGAGAGACAGCTGGAATGCAGAGACTGTTTTCTAAGTTTGCACTAGTTAAAATTGTTTAAAAAAATAGTTTGCACTGAAAAAGTTCTGTAAGTTATTTCTATTTTGTTAAAAAGTTATTAACTTACGTCTAAATCATATGTTAAAATTTTTTTAAAGTTCTATATGTTTAAATCATATATAGTCAGAAACTTGAGGCTTGCCTGGGCAAACACTTCACCAAAGTTAAGATAGAAGAAAAACTCACAAGCAAAAAAAATTATAATCAAATTAAAAAATTATTATCATAACCACAAATTGTCAACAAAGGTGAGATTTTTCAGCTCATGTTCCTTTGTCCTCTTTCCTTTTTAGATATATAGAAAGGGTGAGATGTAAGAACGTGCCCCCTGTTGACGGAGTAAACAAGTTACCTTTTGTCTCCTCAAAAAGGACAAAAGCCCAGAAGTTTCTCTCCTCAATTTGGTTAAAAGACATCTCATAAGACCTAGGAGAGTTCACCTCAAACTTAAGGATAGGTAATTGGACAAGAGCCAAAAAGTCCCACCTAAGCAATTCACTAGAAAAGAAGAGAACAAAAGAAGAAAATCACTTTTGTGAAGTATTTTAGCAGGAGCAAGAACCTCTTGCCCTGGCTCGGTTTTTCAGTGACTTAGAAATCATTATTCAGTTCTAAGTGAATGGAATAAACCTAAATATTCTTGTAGGATATGAGAGATTTCAAAATGCCCGCTGCTTTTTATGTTTTGTGTGTTACTGTAATACATAATGATAAACTTAATTAAAAACACAAACTGCATATTAAAGAGACAGGATTAGCAAGGATGAATACTTACCTTTCTCTTATAAAGTCTGCCAAGTCTTTTGTTGACAAATGTCCATGTTTCATGTTGTGATAGAGAACATCAAAGCCACTGTTCCTTTCCCCCTAAAGATTAATAACAAAAAGAAAGCAGAACTGTGAATCACAAGCTAAAACAACTACAGAAAGTATAGAAATATGCATCTTAATAATATAAATATGCATTTTAATAAATTATCAAGTTTCATGAAATCAATTATTTCTAATGCTTCAGCTTCTTACCAATTGCTGTTAGTTGCCTTCAATCCCTTATATATATATAAAAAGTAAAATCACTTTAACAGCCACTACCACCCTGTGAATGACAACTCTTCAATTACATATTTCTAGACTATATTTAAAGCCATTTATTTTCTAGTTTTCTACAGGTCTTGTATTCTTTCACTTCCCATCTCATTAAACACATTTTTAATACTGCATTCCCTCATATTTTTCCTTATTTCCCATGAACTAAAATTCCCACCTCCCCAGTTCTTCATACTTCATGGATATTTCTGTTTTTTAAAAAACAACTCGTAAAGATCATTAATTTCTTCTTTCTCATAGCTAACTTCCCTTTGTCTATTCTTAACTTTAGTTTCAAAACATAAACCACTTTTCCATCAGTAAGGCATTTCTTACAATTAAAACTAAGACACTGTCCAAAATACTGATTAATAAATTCAGCCAGCTTATCATCTCTGGTACCATGGTGACCTTCCCCCTGAAAAGAAGAAAGCAACAATAAATGAAAGTGAGGCAAGGCACAGCATAACACTGCTACTAGAAGAGTTTTCCTATCAAACTATCCATTCCCCTCCTGCCTTCCAAAAGCTTCAGATGCATAACACTGCTGCTACTAGATCCAGAAGCACAGCCTCAGGAAAATTGCATGCATGTTCATGTTTGAAGGGAAAAAAAGGATGAGAAACAGAATTTTGGACTTTTCACAATGGCAGCTCTACATCTCCAGTGAAAGATTTGGTCAGGCACAACTCAATTTCTGTCCTTTTTATTCTGGAAAAAAATTGTTTGTGCAGCCATAAGGCACACCTGATCAGGGAAATTATACAGCTGAAAAATAAAGCTAGTAAATAAAGACCGACGATCCAGATCACTGCAGCACCATGACCTGTGTCGACTACTAAAATGTGTGAAGTGATGGACACAGAGCTCTAATCACAGTTCATAATGATACAGAATAAATACACCATGTCCATATCAACAGGTCAGCTTGGACCCGAATATCAGCCCTGTGAACTGTTAATTTTGGGAAAGTGCAGATCAATGACCAAGGGATGTTTTTGTGTTCCCTTCTGTGTTATCAGTGACATCCCAACAAGAAATCACTGTCTTAGTAATGTACCCTGACCCACCTTGCTTTATCCCCCAGGGACTGGTAATTGCTCAAGTGATTTCGCTCCCCAAACAGGACTCTAACAACACACCAGAGTCCTTAGTAATGTGGAATAGGATAATAAGCCTCAATCTACCTCAACTAACCTGCACACTAGAACTTAACACCAAAAAGATTGTTCTCTCAGGACTCATTGACACAGGTGCAGATGTGACTGTCATCTCACAGTCCAAGTGGCCTCCCGACTGGACTCTTACACCTGCTCCAGGAATGCTAGCAGGGATTGGAGGTACCAGTGACAGCCTGAGGAGTATGCAGCTGGTTAAGTTTGTGGGACCCGAAGGCAGCATTGTTACCACCAGACCATTAGTGGTAAGAGCCCCCATAATTTTGTGGGGAAGAGACATTTTGTCCCAGTGGGGAATGAGCCTAGAAACAAATTTTTAATTGGGGCCATTGAACAGTGTGACATCCTTAAATTAACTTGGAAAACAGATAAACCCATGTGGATTGATCAAAGGCCCCTCCCTGAAGCAAAACTCATCACACTTAAGTCTCTAGTGCAAGAACAACTCCAAAAGGGTCACATAATACTGACCACAAGCCCATGGAATGCACCCGTCTTTGTCATCCAAAAACTAAACAGCAATAAGTGGCAGCTCTTATAGGACCTATGTAAAAATAATGAGGTCATCGAAGACATGGGCAAGCTAAAACTTGGTCGGCCATTTCCTGTCATGATCCCTAAGAAATGGAAATTGACGGTTATCGATTTAAAAGATTGTTTCTTTGACATTCCCCTTCACCCTGATGACGTCCCTTGATTTGCATTTTCAATTCCAAGCCTTAACAGACAGGCACCTCTCCAGAGGTACCACTGTATGATACTACCCCAAGGCATGAAAAATTCACCTACCACATGCCAATGGTTTGTAGCTAAAGTTTTAGCTCCAGTTCACCGAGATCATTCACAAGCAATTATTTACCATTATAAGAATGATATACTTATTGCAGCTGAAAATGATCCATCTCTAGATACAACTTTAAAAGCCATTGTCACAGCTATCCAACAGGCAGGACTGACCACCACAGAGGAAAAGATACAACAAACATCACCCTGGAAATATTTGGAACTCAAAATTCTTTCTCAGACTGTACAGCACCAGCCATTGCAACTAAATGAGAAACCAGAAACGCTCCATGATTTACAAAAACTTTGGGGAACAACTAATTGGGTCAGATCTCTGCTGGAAATTACTAACAAAGATTTGATTCTGTTGTTTGCTTTGTTAAGGGGGGATTCTGAGTTAAATTCACCTAGGCAGCTAACAGATGAGGCAAGGGATACCTTAGATAAGGTATCCCATGCCATTCAAACTCATCAGACACACAGAATAAATCCAAACTTACCATTCCTGCTAGCTATTTTGGGAAAGAGACCCCAACCCCATGCCTTAATCTTTCAATGGGACCCTGAGACATCTGATCCTTTGTTAATTTTAGAATGGGTTTTCCTACCCCACCAGCTTAGTAAAACTATAACAACAAAGCCAGAGATGATGGCTCAGCTTGTTATAAGAGCCAGGTCATGCTTATTTTCTCTTGCAGGAAAAGATTTCTCTACTATATTCCTGCCCACAACTACTCTGTATTTAGATTGGCTATTATAACAATCAGAATGTTTGCAAATTGCACTCAAAAATTTAATGGGCAAATTTCAGTCCATTACCCTAAACCATAGGCTGTTGCATTCTTCCCTTAGCATGATTCCTAAACCTTTTAAAAGTGTTGTACCCCTTGATGCACTAACCATCTTCACTGATGGATCAGGACAGTCCCATAAATCTGTTATAACCTGGCAAAACCCTGTAACACATGATTAGGAATATGACATGGAAACAGTAGAAGGTTCACCCCAAATAGTTGAATTAGCTGTGGTTATTAGAGCTTTTTCTAAGTTCACATGTCCTTTTAACCTGGTAACTGATTCTGCTTATGTTGCAGGCATTGTCAAGAGAGATGAAAATTTGTTCCTAGAGACAGTTTCTAATGATCAGTTATACTCTTTGCTTAAAACTTTAATTTCTATTCTTTCTCAGAGACAGCATCCCTCTTTTGTCATGCGCATTCGTTCTCACAGTTCCTTGCCAGGATTTCTAGCAGAATGTAATAGACAAGCTGATACCCTGGCTATGACCATACACACTACAATTTCAAACATCTTCGAGCAAGCACGGCTCAGCCATGCATTCTTCCACCAAAATGCACCTGCCCTAATACGCATGTTTAATACCACCAGAGATCAAGCTAGAGCCATTGTCATTACATTCCCTGAATGCCAAAAATATTCTCTGCCATCTACTGGGGCAGGAGTAAATCCTAGAGGGCTTCACAGTTTACAAATTTGGAAGAGCAATGTAACCCATTATGCATCTTTTGGTCGCTTTAAATACATACATGTTTCAAGAGACACTTTCTCAGGAACAATCTTTGCCTCTGCTCACGAGTGAAGTGGCAAAAGATGTTATTAAACATTTCCTATGAGCATTTTCAACTCTAGGCATCCCACAAGAAATTAAAACAGATAATGGACCTGCCTATGTCTCCCAGAGAATGCAGCAAGTTTTTAATCTATGGGGATTCAAACATATCACAGGCATTCCACACTCTCCCACAGGCCAATCAATTATTGAAAGAACACATCGGTCTTTTAAACTCCTGCTGGAACAAGAAAAAAGAGAAATAGAAATGTTATCCACAGTTGAAAGGCTTGCTAAGGCCACATATGTATTTAATTTTTTGAAGAATTCCTTTATGGAAGCAAATCCCCCAATTATCAGGCATTTTTCTAATACAATGCAGGCACACTTAAAAGAGACACCACCAGTCTTAATTAAAGATCTTGATGTGAAAAACACCAATCACTTGGTTTTTAAAATTTTTAAAGTTTAATAATAATAAAAATGGTTATAAAAATAGTAATACAATTAGAGTAATAAAAATTTAGAGTAAGGACAATTACAAGACAATAAAAAGCAAACAATTACGGACGTCGGGATGCTCTCAGACACTAAGTCACGAAAAGCATACTTTGTGAACAAAGGAATAACCCTTAAAAGCAATAGCCTGTTGCATATCCATATATCTCATACATGATGCATAAATTCCTTGCAAATTAAGAATTTCTCTGGTTCTTGTCAATTCCTTCCCCTTAATCCTGGTGGTTCCATGAAGGCGGAGAGAAGGTAGAAGAATGTTTGTCTTTTTTGATAAGGAGGCTGAAACTCTTTGTCCTGTCGCTGTTATCTCTGTGCGAAGTTTCTTGATTATCTTATCCCTTGCTTGAGCCAGTAAAAAAAAATCCTACATCACAGAATTTCTATTTTAACATTATGTTGTAACCTAAAACTATATTTAACACAGTATTTAAGAGAATTAATACAGCATAACTTTCTAAAATTCCACATATAATATTCATTTTAATATTTGTGAAAAGCCAATCATAAAATATGCATTTTTCACATTGAAACAGGCCAAAGTATGGGACCCTTTCCTCTGATTACATGGGGGAAAGGGTATGCTTGTATCTCTACAGGTAAATGACCTTGGTGGGTTCCAGCAAAGAACATCAAGCCATATCTGCAGCCTCTGCAAGATCACCAAGAAGCTCTACAGGAGGAACCCCGAGAAGAACCTGCAGAAAAGACACCATGAGGCTTGCAAATATCCATCCTTCACCTGCTACCTACTGCTGATTAATGCCACTGTTTTCTTAACTCCTTAATCATTATTAATTTTTTTAGTTTAACCTGCAGGTTGTTCTGCTGGACATGGCTCTTAAAAAACTCCTGCTTGCAACAGCCATCCTGATTGATGCCATGCCCCTCACTAAGGCCTGAGAAGTCCCACAGCCAAAGAAAAAATATCTGGGTTATGTTAGTGAATATTGTCGCCCTGATTCTTGAGTTTTCTAAAGCCTTCTGAGTTTACATTCTATTGGGAAACTTTCCCACACAGTTTCTGTAAATAACATGTTGTTTTGCATTCCTCCATGGGGGTGGAGAGACTTGATGTACTACTGCTTTGTCCAATGTCTTTGGAGAGGTGGCCCATTCACTCTCCAATCCACTGTCACCTTTGGAGAAGTATAAAACTTGGAGTCAAAAAATAAACTCTCTCTTTTGCCTTGCAAGGTGGCAGGTGGCTCGCGTTGTGCTTTCTCGTGTCCTATAGCGACATCTGGTGACCGCCGAAGTGTATTGCAGCTTAGGCTGGGAACTGTTGGTGAGGTCTTTCTGTTTGTTCAGCGCGTTGCCTGTTGCTGGTTTTTTTTTTTTTTGGTAATGGAGAGCTTTGAGGGCATTAGG